CGACGAGCCTCCATTTTCGTTAAGCAGCAAATATATGTTACGCTTTGAAAGCGCATGTTGCAAACATCTTTTTTCCAAGTATTTTATATGTTTCAGAGGTATGTTGCAAGTGTTTCATATGGATGTTGCAAAAGTAGATCGAGATGTTGCATATGTTGCAATGGTTGTACATGTATGTTGCAAGCTTTTGTTCCCAATGTTTCATCTATTTATTCAGAGGTATGTTGCAAGTGTTTCATATGGATGTTGCAAAACTAGATCGAGATGTTGCATATATTACAATGGTTGTACATGTATGTTGTAAGCTTTTGTTCCCAATGTTTCATCTGTTTATTCAGACGTATGTTGCAAGTGTGTTTATCTGGATATTGCATATATTTCACACATATGCTTGCATGTGTTTTATATGGACGTTGCGTATGTTTTTATAATGGTTTCAAGTGTTTTCAGGTGTTATTATAAGTGTTTCAGATGCATGTTTCACCTGCCTTCGTATGTATGTTGTAAGTATTGTATTTGAATATTTCAAAAGTAGATCAGGTGTTGTATCTTCCTTCTCGCTTTCTGTTGTCTCGCCTCGGTGTCTCCTCCTCCTCGCGACGCTGGTTGGGCATCCGCCGCTTCCTCCCTCTCTTCTCAATGCTCATAACGTTCAGGGCGCGCGTGGGCCTCACGTGGGCGTGCGGAACGGCGCAGAAAAATGACTGCTGGTGCGGGCGTCCGAACGCCCTGTCCGTTCGGACGTCCGATTGCTAGCGAGCTCGTATTTTTTTTTGAGGCAACGGAAGTTTGATCATTATAAAATATTTCCTTATAACAAAAAATTATCAATAATGAGATTTGAAAATACCGTTGAGCTGTTAACGTGGTAAAAATAATATACGAGCGGATAAAGTAGACAACTGCTAGTAGTTAGGATGATGTAGACTTTTTTCTATCAATATTAGAGGCAACAAAAGTTTAATCACTAAAAATATTTTCTTACCAATATTTGAAAAGGTCCAACTTATATATAAGAGGAAATTTCCTGTTTTACGCTTAAAAAAACTTATGCTTTCTTATTTAACACACAAACTTAAAATATTTTCTATTTGTCACCCCTTTCATTTTTTCTTTCCTATTTGTTACTTTCGATACTTCGGAGTGGTAGCAGTGTTAAGCCCCAGATGAAAAGGCCATTTTGCGCCTATGGTACTTTTTCAGCAAAAGGGACCACTACTGTCTTTAATAATATTTCATTATTAGAAAAAATATATTTAACCTCTAACTATTGGAGGCTGCTTCAACTCTTAAACTACTTAAAAGCATCTAAATAATCGGTTGAGGCAGTTTTGAAGTCAGTTTAACTAACGTGGCATATTACATTGGTGCTGATATTGACATGTATACCTTTGGCTGTGTTTAGTTCGTAAATTTTGGGAATTTGGCTACTGTAGTACTTTCGTTTTTATTTGGCAATTATTGTTCAATCATGGACTAATTAGGCTCAAAACGTTCGTCTCGCAATTTTCAACCAAACTGTGCAATTAGTTTTTTTGTCTACATTTAATGCTCCATGCACGTATCGCAAGATTCGATATGATAGCTACTATAGCATTTTTTGGGAAACTTTTTGGGAACTAAACAAGGTTTTTCTTTGGGGTTTTTTCTATGGGCTTATAGCCACTATGTGCCTCAACTTTCTTTCGTGCCTCACATCACCTAGCTGAATTTGTTTAAGGCTAACAAAGTGTGACTACCTTAACACATAAAAGTATTTTGCAACCTCGGCTTTAACCTACTGTAGCATATTTTTTAGAAAGTAAATTGTAGAATGCAAAGAGAGTGATAGAAAGATTTTTTTCACCACATATTAAAGTGTCGTTACACTTTATTAGTTTTCGCTCGAGCACGGAAACATTTTTATTAATCAGTCCATATATATATTTTTATTGAGATAGCATTGTCCTGGTCCAGGGAACCATTGTTCCATGTTTATTTAGCACAAAAATATTTCATGTTCAATTGGGAAATTGTCACAAAAAGAAAATTGTTCCTATTTTAGAAAAATGTTGTTTTAGCATTACACGAAAAAGTATTGTTGGTTTTTGGAAATATTATATGTTCATGTGAAAATGGCTTCTAGTTTCAATAAAAAATATTCAAAAACGATAATGATACACCAATGATTTGTGTCTGGATGCGCTCTAAAAAAAATCCCCACCCCGCGGCACCTCCATCCCGCACCATCCCCGTGCCACCTCCACCGGCCAGCGCCGCCGCCAGAGGCTGCGCCCGCCGATGTGCCCCTTCTTCTCGTCCCCAGCCCGGCCAAAGCTCGCAGTCGGCACCTTCTTCCTGCCCCCGCAAGGCCAAAGCTTGTCGGCAGCCGCCTGCGCCTGCGGGCGGCCCCTTCCTCCTGGCTAGAGAATGGTGGCAGCCTGCGCCCGTTGTAGGCCTGTCCCCGCCTCCCTCTCCGCCCGCTTGCGACGACTACAGCCCGCAGCGTGATCAAAGCTCGCCGGTAACCTGTCCCTGCCGCCCTCTCTGCTCGCCTCTAGAAGGGGTCGCGACGGGCGCTGCCCTCCACCTACCCATCCCCTGCTCTGTGCTGCGTTGTAGGAAAGAAGAAGGGTGAAAAACACATGCTGCAAGTGTATGTTTCAAGTGTCTCACATCTTTCAGAGGTATGTTGGAAGTGTTTTATGAGGATGTTGCAAAAGTAGATCGAGATGTTGCATAAATTTCAATGGTGTTATACGTCTGTTGCAAGTTTCTGTTGAAAATGTTCCATTTATTTTTTCGGATGTATGTCGCAAGTGTGTTTATTAGGATGTTGCATATGTTTCATACATATGTTACAAGTGTTTTATCTAGACGTTGTGTATGTTTTACAATGGGTTTCAAGTGTTTTGCAGGTGTTTTTGCAAGTGTTTCAGATGCATGTCAATTGTTTCATCTGTCTTTAGACGTATGATGTAATTGGCACATCTTGATGTTTCAAAAGTAGGTCGGGTGTTGCATCTTCCTCCTCGCTTTCTGCTGCCTCGCGGTGTCTCCTCTCGGCGCCAGTTGTGCATTCGCCGCCCCTCCCTCTTTCTTGGTGACGTTCGGGGAAGCGTTGACCCCATGTGGGCACACGAAAAACGGTGTAAGAAACAGACCGACGTGGGCATCCGGATGTCCGGGCGCTAGCAAGCCCGATTTACAAAGTGATATGTACTCATAAATATTGTTGTTATTCACCCTGTTTGCTGATGTTGAAATTTAGCTTATGTTGATGCTTATGCTGAAATATTGTGAGAGAAAAATATTGTTACATGGCTGAAAAGTAGTTCAGAATAAGCTCAAACGAATGGGCCAATTATTTCTGTAACCATTGTTGTGCTAGCCATTGATCCGCCATGAAGAGATAGATATGAGGTAATAATACTAGCTATGGATCGCGTGCCCTTAAACCCGACTTGGTCCGCTTCTTTTTTTTTATTCGGAACAGTGTTTTCCTCTCACAAAATTGTCAGATTCATTCAGATTCTGAAATCAAGAATCGAGAAGAAACAAAAAAAAAAAAAAAAGGAGAAAATAAATAAATAAGGAATTTTCCAAAGAAAATATGTGAGAAAAAACCCGGCCCAGGAGATGGCCCGTGCGCTGACGCTGATCCCCCCTTCCGACACGACAACCCCTTCCGCTGAATCCTCCTGCCGTCCGCTGCATTCCTCCGCTCCTCGTGCATTCTTGTCTGTCTCGCTCGCCCCCCTCTCGCTCTCCGACGACTGGTGGGCAACCGCCGCCGCCCTAAACCAGGCGCTGAGGCTTCGGTTGGTCTCTCCGCCGGCTACGAGCACGCACCAGGTACTCCCACCCTTCCTCTTCCCTTCACGCTGCGCGAAGCTGAGCGACGAAACCCTAACCTCAAGCTATTTAGCTATTTGATTGACAAGCCTCCGAGCTTCGAAGTTTTTGCAAAAATTATTGGGTGCCTTTACTAGATCCGCCCCTGGCTCCGTGGTTATCTTTGAATTGCTGCTGTTGTTAGCTTGATTGCGTAGTATTTGTTTTTCATACTAATCTGAAGGACTTGGAACAGGCCTGTAGAGGGCAAACTGGACTGACTTTATCCTGTGTTAATCTTTCAATAGATAGAGGAGCTATTTTGTTCTGGGAGCCACCGGAAAGCGGCCTTGGTTACAATCTATTTTATCTGTAACAACTAACAGATAGCATTTCACGACATTCACATGGCACTGATCCATTTCTGTCTGTATTGATTTTTGTAGCACTGAATGTAACGATTTGTATTTTTCTCTTCTGAATGCAATGAAACCACTGTTATAGTGTCATAGAGTCCTCTGTACCTTTTTTGTGGAAGTAGTTTGATCTAAAATGTAGGATATCTTCAATTGTGTCTAGTTGGAAAGTATGCTTAAAACGAAATAACAAAAATCTGATATATTAATTATGTGTGTGCATAACAAAACTTGATGCAGCTAATGTGTAGTATAATTAAGATCTAGATTACTCATCATTGTTGAATTTCTATGTTTGCATCAGACCGGTGTCTGAATTTACCCATGATTTGTTTAGTATATATATATGTTACTACCCCCATCCCGAAAAGAACATCACTCTACCTTCGTCTTAAGTCAAACTTATTTTAAGTTTGAGAGAAGATTATCAACATTTATGATACCGAATAGGTACATCATGAAACTATATTTCGTGATGAATCTAATGATGCTTGTTTAGTGATATAAATATTGATATTCTTTTATATAAATTGTCCAACCTGAGATTGTTTGACTTAGGACAAAACTAGAATGTCATTCTCTTTGGGACGGAGGGAGTACTAATTTATTGCACCTAACATTCTGTGTATATGTTTACGTGTTTGTGTACGGACTGGCAAGTATTTCTTATTTACCTGTTGTTTAATGTGTTGATTTTTTAAGGCAATTTTCCTCGCTGGAAAGGAAGGACAATCAGAGCCAGAACTTTCTTCATAAACCTGAATAAAGGACATGCGATGTATGTTACCCCTCCTCATCTTATTTGCATCTTAGGTATTTATATCACTTCGCAAACCATAATACACGATGTCATTAATAATGCTTATATATGTGCAGTAAGGAATACAGACAGGGCACCACGTAGCTCAGGTCGTCTCAATAATGTTGCTTCATGGATCTCTGAAATTAAAGACACATCTAATGTGGCCGTAAGAAAGAAAAGGGGGAGAAGAGCACCTCCATCTGCTAAAAGATTGCGTGATAAAAGGGTGGATAAGGCGATTGAAAGTGATGGTGCTGTTGACAGTGACAGCGATGATACAGATGGACAGGTTGGCAAGGGTCAGCCTAGTGCACACATTGAGGAACATGTTGATGGGAGAACTGGTGATGACTTAGCAAAAACAGGCCACTCAGGTAATTCTTCCGATGGCCCATCCTCAGCTTCAGAAGAACAGGACCATTCAACAAACTCTAAAGACAAGCTCCAAAAAGCTAGCTCTCAAAACACAAAGAAGGTTTTTGGAAACTCAACAAACAGCAAGCAAGGTGCATCTCATTTGGAACAGGAAGGTGCAAATGAAGATGGGTCTCATGTGCAAGTCACTGCTGTGTACAAGGATATTGATAAAGAAAGTTCTCAAAAGATTAGGGATGATGTGAGTTTCTTGCTCTTTGTTCTGGTGTTTTTCGTTTTATATATGATTACATATATTGCCTGTATGAAGAATGCCAATCTTTATTATTGAGAAGTTAATATGCATCTTGAAGTGATTTATTTGCATTTATGTGAACATATGATGCATCAGAATGAACCCTCAGTTTGTATTAACCACTGAGTTTGTTGTAAATGGTCTGTATCGAGCAGGCATCCGATGCACAAGTGGATACAACTTCATCTGACGATAAAAGTTCAGAAGAAGTTGAAGATGTGAGTGAGAACCTTAAATTTCTGTTTTTTTTATGGTTTGCTTGACCTCAATTGGTTGCATTTCGATTGGGTTGCCTTTTTCTTCTTGCATTGGATAATGCCCTTAGTTTTGAATCGCCTGAACTGTGTAACCTGTTTCAAAACATAGGTGAAGGTGTGTGACATATGTGGAGATATTGGTGAGGAGGAGAAGCTCGCTGTCTGTAGCAGATGCAATGACGGCGCAGAGCACACGTAAGGACTCTTTGCTGCATTACTTTCTTTTTTCTGTACTAATGTTCAGTTGCATTTGATGGATTGCATACGCTAAAGTTGCCCATTTACTGTTTTATGGTTTTTAATTGCTGACTGTAAGCTGATGGCACAATTAGCATACCAGAACACTAATATGTCTACACATATATTATCTTTGTCTATACACCTGTCAGGGAACTCTTTTGAGCACTTGTTTTCATTATGTCTTCTCAGATATTGCATGCGGGAATGAGTATGTTTTAATATCTCTTTGCTTCAGGTATTGCATGATGGTAATGATGGAAGAAGTTCCAGATGGCGACTGGTTGTGCGAAGACTGCCAAACTGCGGTAGAATCTGAAAAGGAGAATAGACTAGAAAAATCTCAGGTGAAGGTTGACACTTCAAAAGAGCTGTCCTTTGAAGGGGAGATTAACAAACCTGCCATTGCTGCAAAGAGCAGAAGTTCTTCTGACTATGAACTGAAGGCTGAGAATATAGAAAACAAAGAGTCAGATACCACAAATGAGGGAAATGATACGGTCAAAACCAGGACGGAAGAAGATGCTGCTATGACATCCTCAATTAGAGATACTATTCCTGAAACTGGTGGCTTGTACATGGGGGCTGACTCCAGAAAGAGACTGCAACCATCACGCGAGATATTCGTGTCTGATGCTGACAAAGGAAAGCAACCTAGCCATCAAGTGGCAACTTCATTGGCGGTTAATGCTCTGAAGAATCAGGCACCACAGTCTCGTGGTAAATTGTTAATCTATTTTTCAGATTTGAACTCTCTACACAAAATCCTCAATGTTCAATTTATGGTACTTTTAGGGCTTGCCCTAGTGGCATACAATAAAATGAAACTGTACTAAGCAAGGTTTAATGCAGGTCAACTTTCCAAATCCACTTCTTTCAACAACTCAAAGGTTCCAAAAGTGAAACAGCTATTGAATGAAGTTCCTCAGAAGCCGAAAATTTGGAAGGAATCTTGGTCTTCTCTTATCAGTAAAAAGGAAGGGCCAATCAGCATGACTACTAAGTCAGCGACCTTCAAAAAGCCTAAGCCTTGTGAGCCAGCAAACAAGGCAAAGTCTTCCATCTTGTCACCTGCCGAGGAGCCAAGGCGGCAGAAATCAGTTGGTGAGCCAAAATGTAACAAATGGTCAGTGTTCTTCTATATTGGGGCCTCCCTCTGCCACAGTATCAATGGTTGCCCCTGTTCTAAAAACTGATACCACAGCTCAGCTCCTCTCTACAAGAAATAACACGGCTGACTCAAATAATTTAGGTGCTGTTCATGTACAGGGTGGTAAAAATTCTCTTGGTAAATTTCCTTTCCCCCCCTTCCCCTTGCATGTCATTTTCCTTATGACACAGTTCATATATTTTCCTTATTGAGTAACTCTAATTTGTTTGTTCAGGAAACAGTGAGCTAAAGAAGCCTCCTTTAGCAAAAGTGCCCGGAAGTATGATGCTATCTAATGCTGAAAAATTCTCAGGTGGGATTCTTGGTTCCGGTGCTCATAGAAAAGTGATTCAAAATTCAGATCCTTCACATAGGGATACTAAAATAAAGGACCAAACTGGCTTCAGACAGGGTGCTGCTAGCAGCAATCGGACAATCCGTTGCCAAAGATGTAATGAAGCGGGCCATTCTGCACAATCTTGTGGATTTGAAAAACTTCACTTGTCTTCAGTAAAACCTTTGAGTGAGCAAAACTTGAAAGATGCATCTGCCAAAAGAAATAAGACATCCGAAACTAGTACACTGGCATTTAGTGAAAAAGCTTCTTCCAGAGAAGAGAATCAATCAGAGCATATCGTAAAATGTGGTACTTATCAGAATCTGATAAATGGGCCTAAAGATGTGTTACCTGCCCCATTCAGCCATGTGAAGAAGCCCTCATTATCACCTCGAGCTAATGTGCAGGATATGGGATATATTTTGTCCATCCCTGGGAGTGGAGTAGATTATAGCAAGCTGAAGTTCAAAGATAATCATCCATCTCTATCTGCCACAGTAGGAACCTCTGCTGATAATGGTTGCATTATGCCAAATGATCATAGGAATGAACCTGCTCAAGGTTTTTCAGCTGGTGATGAACCAATGACTTCAACTGTCCCTGAGCTGGACTGGATATGGCAGTATGAGTATTCTTTCCTTTCCATCGCATAGTGAAATTATTAATTTACTTTACATTTTAAATGACTTCACAAGTTACTAGACATTCCATTGCCAGTCTGCCATCAATTATGAAGCTACTTTATCGATAATGCTTTTGCATGTTTTGTGTTTTGTGATGTTATGTGTGCTTTGTGGTTCATCCCAGTTTTTCTGGACCTGATTATCACTCAGCCTGTATTATTTGGTAGCAATTATAATATTTCCTCGATGTGTTTATTATATATGCATTTTAAACTTTTGTTTTATTTCAACAGAGGTGGTTTTGAGCTGCAGAGGACCGGAAGATCACCGGAGCTGTGTGATGGTTTCCAAGCCCACTTATCATGTTCTGCTTCACAGTTAGTGCTGGATGTGGTTAAGAAATTCCCTTCTAAAGTCCAGCTTGAGGAAGTTCCTCGGCAGAATTCATGGCCGACACAATTTCAGGAAAATGGTCCAACTTATGACAACATAGGTCTTTTTTTCTTTGCTAGAGATGTTCAGAGGTGCGTTGTTTGCAGTTTTTCCCCTGATTCATATTTGCTTCATTCATATGTTGTTTTTAATTTGAAATTCTAACACTTCTATCTTTTGCAGCTATGAAAATCACTACAGTAAATTAGTTGAAAATATGCTGAAGAATGATTTAGTTCTCAGAGGAAGTGTTGGTACTGTTGAGTTGCTTATATTCCCTTCCAATATCCTGTCAAAGAACTTCCAAAGTAAGAACCCTTCAGCTTGTTGAAGTGTCATATTATCTCATGCTAGGTTTTAATTTGATTCACCGTATTCTTATTCTGTCTCAGGGTGGAATATGTTCTACTTTCTATGGGGTCTATTCAGAGATAGCAAAAAAGATTCCTCTAACCTCCCATCTTATGTATCCACAAGAAGACTAGAACCAAATTTTAATGGTGATTCCTGGCCCATGGATTGGAGTACATCTGCTTTGTCATCTACTCACTCATTCTCACAAAACAGGAGTGGTTTTGCCGAACTGGGCCCCAATTTGGTAAAGCGCTTGCTTTTTAAACATTTTCTCTACATTAGTTGTGTTTAAGTTACCATTTTTTCCCCTCACATAGAGTATGTAGGAGAGCTGTGTATCAGTGCATTACGAGAAAAACGTAGAATAACGCATGCTACACTACCTTACACCTTTAGTAAGTTATACATACGTGGCACTCAAACATTAAGTTGACCATAGATCCTAAAGTTTATGTTACTATGAGCTTTCTAGAAAATTCCCTAGTCACTGATTCAGCCTATGGGCGACCTGCCAATATGCGAAATTTCCCTACACAACTTGAGAGTTTCGGATGCCAGCTTGACAACTGGCATTCTGTCACCTTGTTTTACAGCATCATTTAGAAGATGCCGCGTATCAGTATCTGAATGTAACGTTTTGTTATGGATATGCAGAAACCTGATTATCCAGAACACCAAGATAAAATGAGGGACACTTTTGGTGGTAATGTTAGTGAAAGAGATTTTGATGTGAACATGGTGCCAGTTACTTGTTCTGTCTCCTTAACCCATCTTCAGGAAGGTAACTAACATTGTTCCCAATCATGTTAGTAAGTAGGAGTTAATTTATTTATCACCCATGTTTTTTCTAATTTTTTTACTTGTTTGGTTAAAGAATCTGGCAAGGTGAGCACAACCATCAACCTTAATGACGCAGACAACCTTATGGATATAGACCATGTAAATACCTGTGAGGTTAGCACAGGTGCACTGGATCGTTCACATGCATCAGGTGGTGCAAGTAAAAGAAGTTTTGAGATGGCCAAAGTAGCTGATGAAGTCGATGAAGAACCTGAGCATAAGAAAATTAAATTGGATAATGTAGTGTCTATGAACTCTGGTTCATGCGAGAATGCCTACAATGGAAGGTTATCATCTAAGGTGCATCCCCTTTCAGCTTCCTCTTTGAATGATGGCACTAGCAATAAACTGATGGCTGGAAGCTCAAGCAGTGATGGAAAGTGCGTGTTTCCACTTGATCTAAATGCAGTGGATGATGAGAACATCATAAATATTCCGTCTTCAGATGATGAAGAGTTACCAGACCCTGTTCCATTACAGGTTGGAAAGCAGACCAAGGGAGATTTATCCCTCTCGCTTGCATTTCCATCAGGGAAGGAACTAGGTAGCAAACCACAATTCGAGCCACAGAGACACTTGCCTGAGAGGAGCAATAGGAATAATACATCATCCATTTGGGGCCAACAGTGATGGCAAGTTGCCCTTGCATTCCTGATGTCTTTTGCTCGGAGACAAATCGTTGAGGCCCCTGTCCACCACGAAATGAACCACCCAGAGGATCATTGTCCTGAAACAGATGCACTTGCAATTTTGCCTTGTCTGCAGTGTTAACCATAAATGGTTGGCGTCACATCCATCCGGATTCAAAGCTGCAACGAGCTCCAATGCTCGGACCGTGGGGATTTGGTTCAGAATGAGCGAGCTGGTCCTCCAGAATTTAGAGCCTGATATTAGTGGTTAAAAACATAAAAAAAGAATTCTGCATTGTAAATCGCATGTGCATTTTTGCCCTTTGCTTAGGTCCGACAATTAGATGGTACCAAGCTCGAGAGAATTGCTGGTGTTCGATTGATATTGATAGACTGTTGGTCGTTTTTGTTCATTTGTTTCTTTATAATCCATGAATTTTCTGTAAAATTTGCACTAACCCGTCTAGCACTACACTGGATTAGCTAAATACCCTAACTCCGCATTTCACTTTCCATGGCTGTTTAATTGTTTATCAACAAATTAAGGAACTTGTAATGGTATATCTCTGAAGGAGCTCTGCTTAGCAATGTAGTGGTAGGCTGATCTGTGCATTTCTATCTAGATTCTGTCGATTGATTTCACGTCTATCTGTGCTGCAGCGGAGTGTTACACAATTCCGCCGTCCGTTAGATCGAACCTATGGCTTGTATTAAAAAAGGGATTTTTAACTTTTTTTTTGTCCTTAAGCATTTCTTTGTTTGTCATCTTTATATGTGTCCCTACACATTTGTCATCGCAAACAGTAATTCTCCTACGTTTTTACCATTTTTGCTAAGGTGGCACGTCAGATGGGTACGCCAGCGTGGTAGGGAGCCTGAGAAGGTCTACAAAGCATGCGAAATGACCTTTGTATCCCTGCCGTTTCTCTCCCTCCAATCGCTGATGCGTGGGCCCCACATGTCAGCTTCGTCTTCAACCCCTCGCCATCACCCGCTCAGCATCGGCGGCGGCACGTACAGCGCCATCCCATTCTCGACGGTGGCCCCACCAGACACCGCACAGCTGGCCACGTCCGTCTCCATCATCAGGCGGTGCCGGCGCTGCCTGCTGCAGGTGCTGTGCCGGCGCCTTGCCCGTCAGCGCCTCCAGGACCAGCACGCCGAAGCTGTACACGTCGGCCTCCTGCGACAGCCGCTTGTTGTCCGCCTGCTCCGGCGCCATGTAGCCTCCAAGGCGAGCAATGGCATGCGCCGGGCTGAGCAGGAGCGCCAGCCCGAAGTCCGCCACGCGCGCCGTGCCGTCCTTGTCGATCAGCACGTTGGTGGACTTGACGTTGCCGTGGGGCACCCCCGACGTGCGGTACTCCCGGTGGATGCATGCCAGCCCGCGCGCCGCACCCAGCAGCAGCCTCACCCTCGTCGTCCAGTCCAGCGGCGACTCGCCCGACATCTTGTGCCCTGGATCATTCATCATTCAAGCAGACAATGGCAAGGAGCATTCGTGATTCGTGTCAGGTCCAGGTCGATCACGGATCACGCAACGGCAATGGTTGTAATTGTAACTGACTGGCAACAAGGTCGCCGGAGGGAGACGGTACCGTACCGTGGAGGCGGTCGTGGAGGTTGCCGTTGGGGAGGTAGTCGTAGATGAGGAGCTTCTCCTGCCGGGCGTAGTAGAAGGCACTGAGCGGAACGAGGTGCGGGTGGCGGAGGCGGCCGATGAGGTCCATGTACCGGTGGAACTTGTCGCGCGCGCAGGGGTTGGCGTCGCGCAGCCGCTTCACGGCGACCATGCGGCTGTTGCCCAGCACGGCGCGGTACACGGTGCCCAGGCTGCCCCTGCCCACCATCTCGGCGGACGCGCGCAGCAGCTCCTCCAGCTGTAACCGGCTCCCGCGCCGCCTTCCCTGCTGTAGGTGCGAGGTCAGCGGCGCGCCGGTGCTGCCATCGTTGTCGCCGTCGCCGTCGTCGTCGTCGTCCTCCTCGCCACCGTCCGCGCCGAAGAACACCAGCTTGCTGCGCCCCCCGTCGCTGTCGCCGCCGTCGCTGCACCGGCCGGCGCTGCCCGGACGAGCCGGCTGCTGCTGCTCCCCCTTGAGGTGGCCGAACAGCGCGCCGCCTCTGTCAGGCCCTGGGCGACGATGTACGGCGCCGGGAAACACAGGCTCTCACCGGAGAAGAAACACACTAACACAAGCGATTTGGTGCTGCCCAAAAGACCGCAGCATTTTCTGACCTTGTATTCTCCTTTTATTATGCATTACAAGAAGTAGAGCTTTCGGTGGCTGGCCGCATACCGCGCTGCATGACGCGTCCATCCCCACGTCCACGGTGTGCGCCCAGAACCAATCACCCAGATGCTTGTGCGAGCTATTCTCGCTCCACTACCTCCTACACGCACGGCCACCACAAGACAGTGCTCGTGCGCATGCAGAAACAGAATGTAAACATGCATCCCTATCCTATTTACAGTGCACGGCTTAAACTGACAAATCTCCTCCTAAGCCTTGCACTTTTGCTTGAGCTTGACAAGGCCGAGCTTGGTACGCAGTTCACAGAAGCGCTCCCTCGCTAGTGCCTTTGTCATGATATCTGCCAGCTGCTCAGTGGTGCCAATGGAAGCAACACACACCCTGCCTTCCTCGACGCATTCTCGAATAAAATGGAACCTCACATCTATATGTTTGCTACGGTCGTGGAACACAGGATTCTTCTTGAGCTGGATGGCGGACTTCGTTGTCGATGTTGATCTTGATCGCGCCCTCCTGCTTGCCCTTGAGCTCGCCAAGAAGACGCGCCAGCCATACTCCCTGGCGGGCAGCCGTTGTGCCAGCGATATATTCAGCCTCGCCGCGAAGACAAGGCCACAACCTTACGCTTTTGGCTCTGCCCGGTTATGATGTTGTTGCCGAGAAGAAGAAGCGACTCGGTGGTGCTCTTGCGGGTGTCGATGTCCCCAGCAAGGTCACTGTCGCTGAAACCAACCAGCCGTGCGTCCTTCTTCCTGGTGTAGTGGCAGCCATAGTCCAACGTGCGGCGACATAGCGCGACACCCTCTTCCACAGCAGCCCAAGTGCTCGGTGGTTGGCTCCTCCATGAACACTGCTCACATAGCCCACCCGAGTAGGCCAAGTCTGGCCTGGTATTCACCAAATACCGGAGAGACCCGGCGATGCTCTGTCTGCGCGTGGCGCGTCGGCGGCGGTCGCGAAACTCTTCTTGCTTTCGGCTTGAGGCGCGGTTCCATGGGAATGAAGTCTGGGGTTGCACCCACCAACTGGCGTTTTGGAGAATCTTCACGCATATGCACTTTGGCCCAAGGTAATGCCATCTGTGGACTGAGTTACCTCCAGACCGAGGTAGTAGTGCAGCAGCCCCAAGTCGCTCATCTGGAACGTTGCCTTCATCTGCGACTTGAACTCTTCAATGTCTCCCGCAACTCCGCCGGTGATCACAAGGTCATCGACGTACACCCCCACGATGAGGCGACGTGCGCCTTCACCGCGGAGATAAACAGCGTGCTCGGAGTTGCTGCGCCGGAAGCCAAGTCCCAAAGAATGAGCTGTCCGGCTTCAGCGTACCCGGTAGCGGGGGGCTTGGCGAAGCCCGTACAGCGCCTTGACGAGGCGCAGCACCTTGCCATCTTGCCCCTTGAGGACAAAGCCCGGCGGCTGCTCGACGTAGACCTCCTCCTGCAGCTCGCCGTTGAGGAAGGCCGATTTGACATCCATGTGATGGACAACCCATCCCTCGCTTGCCGCGTGCGCAAGAAGGAGCCGCACGGACTCCAGACGCGCCACCGGCGCGAACACCTCATCGAAGTCCACGCCTTGTCGCTGGACGTAGCCTTTCGCCACCAGCCGGGCTTTGTACTTGGAGACGAGCCCGGCCGCGTCCTTCTTCGCCTTGTACACCCACTTGAGTCCGATGGGCGAGTGCGTGGTGGAGGGTCAACGAGCTCCCATGTGCCGCTGGCCTCAATCGCCGTCATTTCATCGAGCATGGCGGCGCGCCACTTTTCGTGCTCCGGCGCTTGGCGAACGTGGATGGCTCGGCATCAGCGCCGGCAGCGGCTGCTCGGGCGTCTCCCGATGTGCCGAGCACGGTGGTGACGCAGGCCCAAAGACGTTGTCAACCCCGCGGAAAGCGAAGTGGAGCATCATCGTGATCGACATCCAAATCGCTTCACCAAATGCACTCGGAGGCGTGGCAAATTCAGCCCACATCCGGCGGCTTGTCTTTGCCGGGTGCTTGGAGTCTGCGGCGTGGCGTCGTGGAAGGCTGATGAAGGAGGCGGTGGCGGTGTAGGTGATGTCGAGCTGGGCGTCGATGTGCCCGCAACGGCGTAGTCGATGTTGTCCCGGTTATCACCTCGAGCGCCTCCATGCTACCTTCCTCCACGGTGAAGTCGCCGTCTCCGGCAGGATGTTCACCAGACCCGGTCCCATTAGGCGCCCTCGTCGAAAACGGCGTCGCGCGCTCACGTGAACACGCCGCGCCAATGGATCGTCTGACAGCGATACGCCTTGGAGCCCGCCTCGTAGCCGACGAAGATGGTGCGCCCGGCTCCGGTCATCGAGCTTATTGGGGTTCGGCGCCGTCGGCTTCATGTGCGCGATGCTCCCGAATGTCGCAGTCTTTGGACTCGAGTGCGCTCGGTCGAGCTCATATGGGGTCTTGCCGCCGATGCTCTTGGAGGAGGAGCGATTTAGGAGGTAGACGGCTGTTCTCACGGCCTCCCCCCAGAAGACGCCTGGAAGTTGCTTCGCCTTGAGCATGCATCGGGCGGTACCCACCACCGATTGATTCCGGCGCTCGACAACGCCATTTCTTTGGGCGAAATACGGTCTTTGTCGGCTTCATGGCCTTGCGGCGATGTTGGCGCAAGATACAGCTCAAGTCGCCCGCTAAGAACTTCGCCACCCGATCCGTGACGGAGTGCACGAACGCGCTTCCTTCGGTCTTGCGCTCCGCCGCGGCTGAATCGCTTGATCGCCGCAGCCGCCGTGTTCTTGGAAGGCAGCAACGCGATCCACATGTACCGCGAGTAGTCGTCGACGAGCAGCGAAAAAAGCGGTTCCGCGCTCGGCGTCGGTGGAGATATGGGCCCGCGATGTCCCCGTCACAGCACGGCAAGACCTCCGTGGAAACGCGAGAGCCTTGGCCGAGGAAACGGCGTCCGCCGGTGCTTGCCGGCGAGGCACGCGTCGCGGTAGTCCACTGCTCCGGCTTAAGGGCGGAACCTCGGACGGCGCCTCGCGCCCCATCTTCCCGAGGGCGCCGAAGTTGACGTGGCGAAAGCAGGCGTGCGAGCCACGCATCCTCCGTGGCGTGCGCGGCCAGGCACACCGGCCGTGCAATTTCGACGTCGAGCATGTAGAGCCGGCTTGGGCTCCGGTGTACCTTGGCCAGCAGGCGGCGCTCCTCGTCGCGGATCCGCATCACCCCTTCTTCCACCAGAACCTGGAACCCCACCTCGTCGAGTGGCGATCTTGATGATGTTCGTGGTGGTAGCGGGATGAAATACGCGTTGGCGGTGTGCGGTGCTCCCGTTCTTGCGAGCAAAGAGGATGGTGCCGCGCCCTCGATCTTGACGACGGAGCCGTCGCCCGCAGCGCCGTCTGCGGCGATGCGGTGTCGGTCGGAGAAGGCACTGCGGGAGCCGGTCATGTGGTTCGTGGCGCCTGTGTCCAGGACCCAGTGCTTCGGGTCCCGATCCTCTGCCGCGTCGAAGGCGGCGAGCACCTTCGCCTCCACGAGCTCGAGCTGGGGCGCGGGATCAGCGGCTCCTCCAGCGACCTTCCCGGGCGCCGATGTCGGAGGGGGCGAAGGTGGGTCCGCCTCCTGGAGCTCGCTCTCGCTCCGGTGCTGAGCGGCATCTAGGGAGATAAGCGCCGGTCTTTGGGGAGGCAGCGATGGATCGGGCGGAGCGAGTCCCCGGCCGGCGGCGGCGGCGGTGTTGGTGGGGAACGGTACACGCGTCTGGGTTGCGTGGAGAGGCGACGCGTCCTCCTCAGCCCCATACGCGAACATCAGTGTGGGTTCGTCATCATGGGCCATATGGGCCTGTTCCTGCACCTTGAGTTTGCCGCGGCAATGCTGGGCCCAATGACCCTTTTTGCCACACCTCTTGCACTCATCATCCGGCCCGGTATGAAAAACCGAACAATGCGCCGCGCGCCGTCGTTGCCGCCATTTCGCCCGCCCGCGACACGAGAGGCTTGCCGCGCGATCTGCGTCCCCTTGCCGCGATCGCGGAGCTGGAACCACCACGTCCGTGTCACCTTCTTCTTGTACCTCTCCAACCACTTGCTCCTCGGTGGCGGCAGCTTTCCACCAGCCGGCTTGAGGCGGCGTGGGCTCGGCGTCGTCCGCCGCCCTTGACCGGCGGTGACTTCCTCGATGGACGGTTGGGAGATATCAAGTAACGTTTCAATTGAAATGACCAGCTTGCTTATACCTCGATCGCGCGACTCGCAAGTACTTCGCCACGACCTTGTTGTCTGGCTCGGGGTCGCCCAGAGTGGCCAGCCGCTGGACAATGCCGGTCAGACGAAGCGCGAAGTCCTCGATCGCCTCTCCGTCGCGCAGGGCGATCGACTCGTACTCGGCGCGGAGGTTCTGCGCCGTCGCCTTCCGCACCCGTCGTCGCCGGATCTGCGAGAGTCCGGATAACCTCCAGGCCTCCTTAGCGATTGCCTTGGTCGCTAAGCGCCGGCACCAACTCCTCCGGACGGCGCCAGAGATGGCGTCGAGCGCTGATCGATCGTCGTCGTAGTCCGCGTCGTCGAACTCCACGGCGTCCCGAGATGTGGCGTGCTTGCATCTTCACTTCATGCGCGCGACCACGAGTTGTAGTTTGTCTTGACAATTGCGGCGATTCTGAGCCACCTCCTTCCCGACGATCGCTCGACCACCACCTCCAGCAGACGACGTGAGTCGCGGGCCGCTGTGAACGACGTGTCGCGCGAACGACGCGGTGGAGATCGGCTCAAAAGTCACGAACGCGCGGCGGCGACTTACGCCCGAACATTGGAGCCGTCACTCTTCTTCGGCGAAGCGACCACGCGTCATGGCGCGACAAAGAGTCTCTCGAACACTAGCTTTGATACCACTTGTCGGGCCCCAGCGACGATGTACGGCGCCGGAAACACGAGCTCTCACCGGAGAAGAAACACACTAACACAAGCGATTTGGTGCTGCCCAAAAGACCGCAGCATTTTCGACCTTGTATTCTCCTTTTATTATGCATTACAAGAAGTAGAGCTTTGGTGTGGGCGGCGCATACCGCGCATGACGCGGCCCGTCCATCCCGCGT